ATATTATTAAAGTAAAACAAAAAAAAAAAAAAAAAAAAAAAGAAAAGAAAAAAAGTAAATTAATTTCTATTAAATGGTAGAGGTGTTATGGTGAATTTATATCTCATAATCTCGTTTCACAAATTACTTTGGTGAATTGAATTCGTCGAGAATTCAAATTGAAAACTTCACCGTTATGGTTACGTATGGTGTATATTTGTACAAATGGGAAAAAAAAATTTGAAAATATTCTCATAGAGGTTTTCAATGAGGTAACAAATGATAAAAGAGTCAAAAGTGGTCGATTTGACGTGGAATGTCCCATATATAATATACTCATATTACTACTTATATTACTTTATTTTTTAGCAATTCAATTGATATCGTAAAATATTACTAACACATATTAGGTTTTTTGTTTTGATATTAGACGATTAGGAGTTAAAATGCTATGATATCAAAAAGTCAAATATAATCCAGAGTCAGTTTTGACGGTGGACTTTTATCAACGAGCCTGTTTCAAATTCCTGGAGAGAGAGTTAATCGCGTACACGAAGTAGTGCCGCGATATTAATGTAATCGATTGCTCCGTTAGCTCGCATATTATTGGCCACCGACCAAAACGATATTCATGGATTACCCTTGCCCCCGAGATATCTTCCATTTAATTCTCTCGGCCATGATTTAAAGCGCTAAAATGCATTACTAGTAGCGGGGTCTCGTTCATTTACTCGAATTTACCGATCGAACGAAGTAGTAAATGTTTGTTTATATACGAAAGAATCTTTTTCGAGATAAAATTATTTGCATTTATTGAAAACATTTAATTTGGCAAAGAAAGAAAAATAAGGGGTCAGGTTATACGGATTAATATATTTTAAAACGTAAGATTGTATAATTTTTTGTTTTAATGTGACATTTCGCAAAAACAATGCTGAACTTTCTGCGTCACCTCTCGTCTTGCATATTCAAAAATTTTCTAAGAAGAAATTGTATTAAATTTTAATGAAGTAAGGTTAAAGTCATATAATCTCTTTGTTGTTTCACGTCTACTCTACATTTCATTATCCTTTCATTTAACTTTCCAACGATAATTACATTTTTTCATTTCGTCCGTGATCGCGGCATAATAAATTGCCTTTGTCTGGAATATCGTATAATAAGGTACGTATAATTGCGATATTCAATGGATTAACGTAATTAATGACCTACGTCAGTACTCGTATCGATGAATAATTAACAAAATAAAAAGAGAAAAAAAAAAGTATCGACAAATTTCCCTTGATTGTGAGTCATTTTATAAAATCTCGTATATAATTGAGTCTATTAGAATGAAACTCTCTAATAATATGTATAATAGGTACACCGTATATATGTATAGACGTAAACGCATTATCTCAAGGCGCAGATCAAAATCATTTATTTAAATTTATTGAATCACAAACGTAGAAGTATAATATAGATATCTTTATATCTACGCATACATATATTCATTCTTTTTATACGATACATAGAGAACACATAGACCAAGCCCAGAGACCGCAAATTTCTGGACTTGCGCCAAGCGTTTTACCAGACTCGTATTTTATATCCCCAAGACCGCTTTCTTCGACCCTTCCTCAACTTCTCCTCGCAGCATACACCTTCAAGCTCGACTTCAGTTTCTCTGAATTTCTTCGAGATTTCTCAAGAGACTCCGATCTTTGACGTTCCCACAGCAACAAGGGAAAAGGAAGGAAGAGAGGATCCAGTACTTTTCGCTAGTTTCCTTTTTTACCAAATTTACATACTCGTGTGCTTACGATTAATTCTCTTTCCATTACTTTCCTCTTCCATGGCGAACTATCACACGTTCTTTTCGTTTTTTTTCTTTTTTCTCTTTCTCTTTACTTTAGACAGGAAAATCCCAGATCTGGAAGCTTCACCGTGTCCCTAGTCAATACTCGTAAGCTTAGTTTGAGATGAAGAAAATGTGAGGATACCATGTAGTATGCATCGAGTGTCACATAATATATATTGTATATACCTATGTACATATAAATTTGATAGTGAGTTAAATGAAGGATAGGATAAGTTATTTATTAATTGAAACAGAGAGGTGATAAAGGATTTGCTACGAACACACTACTGTTAATGATTTATATACGAATCTTGTTTCTCTGTATTAAAATAGGGGAAGAGAAAATAATCCCCCAGAAGGTGTGAATATTGAATTTTAACTTGTAGTATATTCGAAATAAATTATTTTAATAAGATATCTCTCCGTAATAGTATTTTTTATTGAAAATATTACTGAAATAGGAAATTTCTAAAACTGTACAATTTCTGATCGTAAAAGTATAAAGCTCCTCCACATAAATAATATCGGTAAAGTTCCTTGAAATTTGTTTATTTTTGTATACTAGATTTTCTAAAAGTGGCTTTTCTCTCGCGTGTATGCGCGTCATGTGTTTTGGAATACCGGAAGTTATGCCTGAAAGACTCCAGCAACCAACGGAAATGTCGTCTTGCGCCACAATCCAGATAGCAAATCGGAACTTCTCTTATGAATGTCGACCTTTCCTGTGTGAATTTATCATCTCGCTTCTAGGAAAGTCGTACCGGAAATTTATCCCCTTTCCATCATTCTCCGAAACGACGACTACGACGACTACGACGAAGAGAGTGTGGGCTCAATGCTTTTCTTCTTTCCGCGATGTTACCAAAATGAAAGTTTTCAAAGTTTCAACATGGTACGTTTTAACTTTGAGACTTTTAACGTTATCTTAAACGATTTAAAAGTACAATCGATATATCGTTAAAATGATTCTTTGATTTTCTGCTTTTAGTTTAATATCACAGCCGTTTTTAGCTGTTGCATCTTCGATTTATCGTTGCAACGATTTAATTCAATTTATTCGAATTCATTATGCGTTCCTATTAACGTTCAATTATTAAACGATATCAGAGAGCCGTAAAGATCACAGAATAATCAGTATCGTTAATAAATATCCTTTACGTGTATATGTTACTGTGAAAGATCGAAATAATGTTAAGATTCACATGATGATCGTTTTGGTTTATGTCCAAAATATTAATGTTTAAGAATAAATCCAAATATTCTGTCTTCCACCGACGTATTTGTTATGCGTTCACAAACGACCATGCGAATCTTAACAATCTCCCATTTCGATTTATCGTGATAACGTGATATATATCGTACACACACGCGCACGCGTACACATGGTTGCACTAACAAAGCTTATCGAACTCTCGATAATGAATATAAAGAAAAGAATGAAGAGGAGGACCCTTAGAAGTGTTTCTGAAGGATTCACCTCGAAATTACGAGTATGACCGCGCTTTCTTATGGTTTATTCTCATTTTTCTCACTATATATATGTATATGTGCATTGTTTGAGTATTGCACGAGCATATGCATTCCGATCCTCTTCAGCTCCCGTATTCTTCTTTCTTCTCAGCTTCTTTTGTTATCGAACGATCGGTAAATGCTATTCTATCGAATGGAAGTCGGAAATCCTTGGGTAAACCCTACTTTGGATGGCCTCGAGCTCTTCCAAATAAGCCCTGCCCAGTCCAGCTTCACGTTCTATCGCTTTTGCTGGCTCTGGGATAAGCATAGCCTCAATCTCTTTCATGACAGTCCATGATTTCCGTGGACTACAGGGATCCATTGTTTTTGACTTAGGTATTTTCGCACATACTTTGTCAATATCAGAATATTTATCAGCGTTTACTTTTTTCGATTTCTTTTCTATCTTTTTGAATTTCTCTCTGAAAAATAAAATCAAAACATGACCGTTCCAATATTATTATTGTGAAAAAGAATAAACGTTGGTATTGAATAGTTTGAAAACCCGTTCAACAAAATCCACAAAAAAGAAAATTCCCATTGATTAATACAGGTTATATATCCGACAACTATAGTTTTATTATTTGATTAATGTTATACTTTTTATCGAGTATGATAAAATGCACCAGCAGCTTAAGGGAGCTACGAAAATTCGAGATAGTTCATATTTTTTTTTTATTATTTTTTCTTTAAAGTAAGTCGGTATTATGACGACTCGTTTATTGGCCGACAGTAAAGCCATCGCAAAAAGGTTAATGGTGTTAAAACGATCACACGTAAAATGGATGACCCGGATTCGTGTCTACGGTTTACCCAACTGCCCAATATTTTTTTTTTCACAAATCCTATACTCTTATCTATTTTCTTTACGTTGATTCGAGGATGAAGAATTTTGACAAAGACGAAAATAAATAATATATGAAATATATATTCTATCTCTTACCGAGCTAACAAGACTCTTTCGACCAGTCGTTTCTTTTGAGTCCAACGGATCGGCTTTTTCGCTTTATGAATTTGCCTTTTTGCTATCCTTAACTCTCTGTGAAGTTCTAAAGGTAGCTCTAACATATCTCTTAAAGATTCTTCACTTTTATCTACAGTAGATGTTCGATCGGTTTTCTCTTTTCTCATAGACGGCGGCGCATACTTCTTCTTACGCCAAGTTTTTCGCCAACAGCAGACCTTTGGTTGGCATAGAATTTTGCAAGGCCTTCGAAGACGAAGGTCGAACTTCTTGACCGGTTTTTTCTTTTTCTTTATCTCAGGTCTCTTAGGACCACTTGTGGTCGGTATGATCTCGTCTGTGGTAGTTTCCGTTATTATCTCGGAAACAGTCTCGTGAATCTTTGTTATTTTTTCTTCATCTATTTCCGAATCCAAGGATATCTTCTTTGTCACAGCTGCCCTCTTTTTCTTTCCTTTTTTCTTCTTCGCATCCTCCTCGATTATATCTTTTTCTTTTTCAGTTTCTCGTGCCCGATGTTTTAATTGTTTGTGATCAAACTTTCGTGCGAGCGTTGAGTGTCTAAGGTTTGGATCTCCCTCCGATTCGAGTTTTTCTCTTTCCTGTAAAAGATAAAATAAAATAGTTTTTAACAAGAAAAGAGATAAGAATCGGGAAATTAATTTTAACTGTCTTTTTTTCTTTTTTTTTTTTTTTTTTTTTTATTAAGCCTTCTCTCTTCCCTTCCTACCTTATTCACAGTCTCAAAGAACATTTCTTCGGCAATCATGATTTCAGGAAGTTCCTCTCGAATCCTTTTCTTCGTACTTCTTCTACCTTTATCTTTATTCGTCTTTGTCTCCTCTTTCGTCGAAGGCTTAACCTTATCTTTCTTTCTTATTTGCTGTTTACTTCTTCCCTTAATCTTCGGAATCTTCCTAACGATAACTGGCTCTTTCTCGCTGTTTAATATCTTTAATATTTTGATTTCTTTGATACGAGCATCCACGGCTTTCACGTATTTCGAATTTCTATCTAATCCCTGATAATGATAGATTAAAGAAAGTTATGCGTTTTCATTGATAATGATAGTTTATATACATACCATAGTCAAAAGGTTTCTTTCATTCCTATCGAATTTTCCTAAAGCCTCTGTCGAACGAGTCAAATATATATTTCCTTTCTTATCACCAACAGCTAACAAATATCCATTTTCATGGGCCGCCATAGTCGTTAGGCCAACTTCGCTTAAATGTAACTCAACGATTGGTTTCTCGATACTCTCTAAAATATCATAGACTTCTAATTGACCATTCTCCTTTATGATATAGAATAGAGAGTGTCGAATTTTATTCCAGCAAGCTTTGACCGGTGAATAACGTTGGCTTCTTCATAAATAAAAAATAGAAGAGTAAAAAGAACATATAAATCGGTTCGATTGTATATCCTCTCTAGTAATAAATTATAAATATAAAAATATATATAATAATGGGGTAGAGAAAGAAAAAAAACCTGATCGTTATTAAACTGCCTTCTCTGGTATCTTCCGCCCAAATTCGAGTTGTACCTTTGCCAACGGTCATAAACACTTTCGGATTGAAAACGTTGCGATCAACGGATAATACTGATCCATTGTGAGTATTGAATCTCATTGATAATTTTTCAGCGTTCGTTTTAACTTTTCTCGAACCACTAACAACAATACCATTTTGTAAACCGAACATAAATTTCGTACTCATAGATGGCTCGAAATTCGCCGAAGATATTCCAATCGATCTTTCCATCAACGGTTCGTTTGGATTTTCTAAATCGAAGATCAATTGTTCAGTTGGGTGATGTAAGTTTCTCGTGTCCCACCAAAGTGCTTGACCGTCCCAAGAACTTGAGAAAAATTCAGTGTTTGTTTTCGTATAAATCCATTTAACTGCAGTCGTTGAGTATCTTCAATATCAAATCTTTATTTAGGATTTTCTATTCTTCGAATACGTCATTAAAGATATCAGTTTTTTTTCATCAAACAAAACAATTATCTTAGTAAACTTGAGAATACCTATGACTATTTCGTGGATAGGATATTTTAACCGGCTCAATACCCATTCTTACGTCCCAGTAACAAACTTGCCCAGTTATAAGACCACCAGCAAGCACAAAAGGATCTCGAGGATTAAATTGGCATACCAATGTTGGATATGAAGCTTTAATAGTCATATATGGTTTGTTAGGAATTTCTATACGTAAAATAAAATAAATATCAATTATTTTCATTTTTAACGCGATCCACAAGAAATACATTGCGATTGTAACATTTTGTAATACGTTAATGGATTAAATCTTATTACCTAAATCCCAAATGTACGTGTCCGTACTGTAATCAATTTCTTTTTTCAAATTAACGAAGCAATAACAAACTACCATCTTAGTATCGTCGGGTGACCAATCGATATCATTTACCGATCTGGCGGGTGTCTCTTGATCCGGAAAAACGTTTAACAGTCTAAAAAAAAGATTGAACAACGTTTTTGTTTTTCTATCAAACTTAATGAAAAGTTAGAAGAAACGTACCTGATTCCACGTTCTGTGGTCAAGGGAGTCGGTATCATATCATCAAAATAATGATCGTATATACTAACAGCGTTATTTAACAGGATACAGTGTTCCATATTCTGTTTAGAGAATACTTAATATTACTAATGAATTGAATTTAAGAATCACGTGTATATATTTCAATACTCAAAGTAAAGTTATTCTTAAGAAATAAATAATTAATAATGGATATGGATTTTGTATTAGACCAAGGCATATTACGAAACCACTTTGAAAACCGTACAATGCACTCGGTTTATCGGTACTATTACTAACTCTAGAGATTTACCGCAAGTAGGTAACGTAATTTAGGAGCCCACTCATCGCCCTTCTCCACCCGCCTGCGAAATCTCGCGGTAGTTTCATGGTCACCAGGATGAATCTCCTTTGGCCAACCACCCTCGTAATGGTATATTCCGCTGTTCTTCGTGTTCACCGCTGCGGTTTGAACCTATGATTTCAGATATGAAGTTTGTTTAATTTGTCGGAAATAAATTTAACTTACCTTGTTTAACGTAGAATAATTCTTGTTTGCTAGCTCGTATGTGATTTTATATTAATTAATTAAATAAGAAATTTGTGACTTTGTTTTCAAGTGTTCTTTTACGAAAAAAAAAGAAAAGAAGAAAGAAAACGTACTTTGAGATTTTCGTACTCGCGAATGACCGTAAGACAAAGATTAAGGCAATACGATTTACTTACTTTAATCTAAGCCAATTTTGTCAAGCGTATCATGATAAGCTTTTATTTGAAAAGTTTTTTGAAACCACGTTGGAAACTAAATATTTTCAATTGATCTCGTACTTCTTCCCATCAGTGATACCAAATTCTCGTTAACGCGAATCCAACAATACGCCCGATATTCTCCACTGATTCATACGAACGGAGAACAAAAAAATTAAATTCGCATATACCGAAATGTTTCTTATTTTTACGACGTCGACTATCAAACTATCCTGTCGTTTCCTTCTTCGTATATTTTTACGCCATCAAAATCTCTACAAAACTCGTATAATTTCTACGAACGGAAACTTTTCGAATATCATTTTCGCTTCATAGATGTTTTAAGTTTATCGATAACGAAGACAAGTAGTGTGTATTAAAACGAATTCTAACAAAAATGATATTACTTGTCTTTTTTAAATTTACACGTAAACTCACACACACACACAGTTCATCCTTCGTGGAAATGTAAGGGTGGTTTTAAAACTAATTGAAATAATTTCTAATTAGTTAAATTTCCTAACTAAAAATAGAGAGGTCAAAGATGAAGATACAGATTTTTATGATGCACGTAAGATACTTCTCTAGTCTGTCGGCAAGCATGATGTTACAGACCATGACCACATCATGATGATATACACATAATATAACAGACACATATGAGACTATCGTTGTCGGATATAATCTTGTTAATGAAATCGACCTAACCTCATGTAACGCTATTTGCTTCGTGTACTGCGTGCCAACGTGACAGGGGCTCTTCACGATGTAATTGTGCATCTCCTGAGGATTTGGTTTGATCTCCTCGTCCAAGTTCGGCCCGCAAATATCGAAGATGCATTGCTTACCAAATTCTGAACGGGTCTTCACGTAAACGTATTTAATATCCATCATTAATAATATTACATATAATTATGACTATCTCGAAACAAACTTAACGCTTGTTAAAGAAAATTTCCGTAACAATCGATAATCACGTACTCATATTTCGATATAACATTTAAGATTTCTCTTGTTAAAAGAACAATTATATTCGAAGTCATGAAAAAATAACTACGAAATTAATTGAGTCTAACATTTGGTGAGTCTATACAAAATAGATATATTTTTTAAAATAATCGAATACAAAAATTGTTTCCTTTTTATTCTTATACGAGAGTAATGTTTTTTCGCATCAATATTCAATTTAAATTTATATTTAATAATCAAGCGTTAAAAAGGAAATATATTAATAGGTCCATATAATGGATGTAACACGAACGATATTTATTTCTCTTTGGATCATTGAAGAACCGCTTTACTCGGCCGTAATCAGTTCGACGAAATAATTCATAAGATCTATGCACGTTTCAGTCTGCACGCTGAAAGAAAGAAAGGAAGAAAGAAAGAAAGAAAGAAAGAAAGAAAGAGAGAGAGAGAGAGAGATAGTGTGAGGAAGACATTTAAGGAAAAAAAATACCGAGGGAAGTGCTAAAAGATTCATGAATTCACCGCGTCGCGGAATAAAGTTGCGGACGAAGTGATATTTGCCCTGTTTCGCTTTGCAAACACACGCGAGAGAACTCTTCCTCGCCTGACGTAAATTCCCGTTCGTGGGAAGAACTCTCTTTCTCTATCTTTCCCTCCCCTTCTCCCCCCCCCATCGTCCCTTTTCTTCTCCCTCTTTCAATATACCTCTTCCTCATTCGTCCCTTTACTCGCACGTAAACGTCAAAGATGTTAGCACCAAAACGCGTCGTCTTCTCATCCTTTACTTCGTCGTCTTCGGAGGTGTTCTTCTTGACAGCTTTTAACAGCATTTACAAAACTCGTTTCTCTATATACCGCCATTTTTCAGCTTTATTGACAAGAGAAATAAGAAGACAAGAATATTATATATATATTTTACGTTATTTACACGAAAATTTGGATTTTGTGTTATATTATTTATTAGAAAAGTAACAAATGTTTTTAAGAGAAGAGTACGAAATAAGGAATATAATTATATTGTTTATTCTTGTTAGCTTTGAACTTTTGTTTCTTTTTTTTTCTTTATTTTTTTTTTTGAAATATAAATGATCATTTATACGTGACCGAGACAAATTATATTAGGATAGAATTTTATTCGTAAAAAACGGATTAGTTTGAAATCGAGAATTTTTAGTCTATTTTAAATGGACGAAAAATGAAAACGGTCCAACGGGATATTACAGCAAATTGCATGCTCATTTAGTAAGAATTTTATAACACAATACTCGGCAGCAATTAAAAATTTCATTTCTTTAAAACGAGGGTAACAACGTATATGCTTTGCCGTTCGAGAAAATGAAAGAAAAATTAAGGATAGATTACTATTTGGATCTCGTTTCTTATGCAAAGAGAAAATAAAAAAGAAAAAAAAAGAACGAGAGAAAAAGATATAGTATAGAAAGATTGGTTTATCTGTTTATAAGGATTTAATATCATTTGTATAAGAGATAATTATTTTATTAGAGAATTTGTTTTTATCATTAAATATATAATATAATTTTAATCTAAATTCAAATATCTCTTTATTCTCTATAAAATAATAAATAATATTATTATCTCTTGAAAATTCGCGAGAGAGAGCACAAAAAAAGAGAATATAATATAATTTATGAGATACTATTTGCAAATTCTCGGAGAACGAATTAGAATGATAAAATAAAAAAAGAATAAGGCCACTGGAAATAAGTCGCAATCAAGATATCTCGGTTCTTTGGCCGAGTTCGATTCATCAGGAACCGCTGATGTAATCATTCCACCTTAACGAGCCGATCATTTCTGGTTATCGAGTCGCCTCACCTCGTTTCCTTCGTCTGGTGCATGGAAATGCACCCTTCTCGATATGCTATATATATATATAGATAATATCGATTTATCGAACATATGTATTGTGTAATAAATATATGATCGTATATATGTATGTGTATGTACATAGATATATACGTACATACGAAAAAAGTAACATGTAGTGGCAAAACGTCGTCTCTACTTGTTATTTTATATATATATATATATATATATGGATATCTGTACATCATATTATACCATTGTAGATAAAATATTATGTTCCTATGTATATGTCCTGCGAACATTGCCAATGACATTTCCTCGTTCGTTCATCTTTGAAATATTTGCACTCGCATCGCATATAAATCCGAACATGTCAAATTTTGAGCGACTTATCCACTGTAAATCATTTCCCAACTTCTCGTTTTGTTTTTATCTGTTTTTTTTGTTTTCTTTTATTAATTTCCAATGAATGTTAAAAAATAATCGAGAAAGAGATAAAACATTTGATTCTGTTAACATCAAATATTGTTCTCTTTCGTGTTATAATAAATCATTGATCTGATAAAAAATTTATGTTGAACGTAAAATTTCGATATTCGAATATATTTCTCTATACTATAGTTAAATAATGTTTTTATTTTGAAAAGAGTAATATAATACGTCATTCATTCGTCACCGTTCGATCAACAGAATTTCATCATTTTTTTTTTTTTCTCTCTCTATCTCGAAGAAGCACTCAACGCAAATGCGAGCCCGAGGGTTGTACATGGCAAACTTTTCTATTTTGTTTTCAAACGAAAAATTCTTAAGTGCGAAACAATTAAGCGACAACTATTTCCTGGGGGTCTCTCGTATGAAGCATTCGTGTTATGCAGGAAAGACAAAACGAGAGAAAATCAGAGTTAGAGGTTACACTATTTTCGACCGAAATATCACGCCAGGAAAACCGAGCGTGGTTGTCGTCGTGTTGGAAAAAAGTTACAGTAACAGTAACGGAAAAAGAGGAAAGAGGAGGAGAGAACGAACAAAAGGGAATAAAAGAAAAAGTGTGAGGAATAAAAAAATATTATAGTTACAATTGCTCAATTCCCAACGATTGATCTACATTTTAAATATTAAAAAACAGATAGCAATATATATATATATTAATTTATTTTTATTAATAAATAATTAATTATTAATATATTGTTATTGTTATTATATTATTTCGTTCATTTGCATAATAACGTTTTATCGTTCTTTCATTTCAGTAGGAATAATTCATTCCACAAATGATAAAAAGATAAATGTAAAGAAAAGAAAAAACATTTATCACTCAGAAAATAAAAAGAAGAATAAAAAAAAAAGAACCTAATAAAATTATACCCGCTGTGTCGTATCATTTATTATTCAACAGCCATAAAAAATTTTTGTCACTCGGTAGCGTTAAATCTAATTATTATTAAAGAAATATATTTTTGAATATAAAAGTTTAAGCATTCTATCAAATACATTGACGCTGAAAATTTTCTAAATTCTAAAAGTAGAGATAATCGCACATTGGCTTAAATGTTAATATTCTTATGGCGAATAAAAATGGAATTATTATATACCGTTTAAACGTATACGATAATAAGATATATTTACAAATGCAAATACGAAGGAGAATCACCAAGGGATTTTTTCTTTTTTAGAAAAACTTGCTTGCACATTTTTGAATAGAATTACTATTATACCGTTTAAACGTATACAATAATAAGATATATTTACAAATGCAAATACGAAGGTGACCACCATGAGGGGGTTTTTTTTTTCTTCTCTTTTTTCGAAAAACTTGCTTGCACATTTTTGAGTAGAAAGTAGTCAAAATGGTAGTTCTTCTTTTTAACATCACATTCACCACGCCGTCGAAAGGTGTTTACCGTGTGGAAGCATATTCTCTGTTTACCGGTCCATTGTGCACAGTACGACATTGCATTCCACTTTGACCGCTTTTTTCTCCTTTGCTTTCTTTCTTTCTTTCTTTCTCCCTGTTTCCTTTTCTAGGCGTGTGTAAGCGCGCGCGCACGCCGGTGATCTCTGATTTTCACGAAAAGCCTGACGAATCGTTGCTCTCATCAGCTAATGCACGTAGAAAGACTTTTGCCGAGTTTGTTCTTCCTTTATTTCTCTTCCTAGCACTATCTTTTTACTTTCACTTTCTACTTTACTCTTCTCATTTTCTTTTACATTTACTATTGTAATACAAAAAATCAAAAAAAAAAACAAGGATTGTTTTTTTCACAAATCTTTATTTATGTTTTTTAACACTTTTGAAAGAACGATTGATATTTTTGACACAACTATATCTTTTCACGTGATTAACTCCGATCTAGGATAATAATTGTTTCATAATTTATTCAGTTAGAATGACATCAATTATTATTCGTCATACTGATTTGTTAATTTTACATGCATATATTTATACGGTAAACATTGAAACCACGTTGAAATATTATAATAGTTCTTGTCAGATCTATATCTAATGGATGGGTGACCCATTCAGAAAACAGAAACCGTATGCTGTTGACTAAATACGTTGATGTAAAATACGCTACTTCTTTAAAAATATTGGAATAAGTGTGAGAAAGTGTTCGTATAAAAAATGATTTGAACTCGTACAAAAAGGGCAAAATAATAAAAAGACATGTGTAAGTATAGGTAAATGAAATTTTTCTCTTTTATAATACCGTTATTCGTCATCTTAAATCTCAAAGCTTGTCAACCGTTCACTCAATTGTAAAGAATTGTTCTACAAGGAACATTGTGCAGATTTCTATATGTATAGAGAGAGGTATGAAAAGTTTTCGAGGGAGAAGAGAATTCATGGGTTTCTCTTTGAAAGTTCTGCTTGTTAAACGAAATCTACATTCCCGTAGTAATGACGACATTCTATCTTAGATACTGTCTTTACCAAACTCCGAAATTCAGGTATATATACCGGCGTTCATTCTGTTTTACAAACTTTATACTTGCTCGTTGTTCTTTCTCGCTCTATTACTTTTCAAATTGGCAATTTCGTTCGATAAATAAAAGAGAGAGAGAGAGAAAAAAAACGTTTATTAAATAAATTGTTACAATAATTATTCATTTATTTCTATATTAGCGAATATTAGACAATTATTAAATAAAAAAAAAAACAACAAATTCGTTGAACGCGTTAACTTTTATCTTGGAAATGTTAATAAAAATCATTAGAGTATCACGAGAAGAAATAATTTTGTTTAGAGAACTTGTTTATTTCATAAGAGAAAATAGTAGAAAATTTGACTCTATCTTCTAGTTTTCTTTCATGAGCAACGTTCAAAAGGCGAGAACTAGAAAGGAGTGAAAAGTAATGCACCCTCTTGGAATCGGTTTTCACGGTGAGAAGTACCGGCATCGATTTACCCCGATTCTATTCACTTCTCTCTTTCTTTCTTTCTTTTTCTCTCTCTCTCTCTCTCTCTTATTCCCTTTCTCTCTTTCTTCTTTCTCGGTGTTCCGCGAACTTTTCGTTTTTCGGAGTGCTTCCGCTTTCACCTAAACTTCGAATTCTTCTCAGTTTTCGATGGATGTACGGCCGTACTCTTAGCTTTCTGCACTTTATCTCGCTCGAGTCTCGAATCGTCCAATTGACGTTTCAAACGATTACAAAGTTTCTCGTGTGACGTTTCTTTGCCGAAAACGCAATGAATAACGTGTGATCCATAATTGAACTTGTTCTACTTTTATATTCTATCTCTCCTTATTGATTTTATAAATAATTCGTTAAAAGTATTATTTATTTCCTTCTTTCTTTTTTTTTTTTTTTTGTTTTACTTTAATAATATTACTTATTATAAACTTTGTGTGTTAAGATTTTTAAATTAATATTTATTACAATATATTTACGCGATTATAAAAATAAAACAATACCTTTTCGAAACTTTTATTTAATATAATATGCGGATATTCTCGGATACAATTCTTCCTCTTCTTCTTTCTTCTTGTCTTCAGTTTCCTCAATTGTTGTTGATTCGTCGTTTGGAGATATCATCTTTCCTGATATTTTATTCGTTAGTTCGTAAACGTCTGCTTTCTGTTTCGCAGTCTTATATTCTTTTTTATCATTATCTTTCTCATCTTTCAATCTTCTGGTAAGTGGCATACTTAAAGATCTACGGAAAGAAGATTTTCCAACGAATAAATTGTCTCGCCATGTTTCAAGATGTTTTTTCGCTTCTTTGACATCTTCCGCGAGGACATCGGGTGATGCATCCTTGCCTAATAAGATTCTTTTCTTTTCCACTTCCATACTTTCTGATATACCCTTATCCATCTCCAATATTTTCTGTTGCCACTTTTGCCAATCCGAAGGTGACACCTTTTGTCGAGGGATCGAAATTTCTTCCGAAGGCTCAATGAAACCTGTCAATGTTTTCTTCTTAGATTCTTTTTCTGTCTTAACGATGTCTGAAAAGAGAGTAAAATAATATCATTAAGTCCTTCACTATCTATTTATGGATTATCTTTATCTCGTTCTTTTGAAAATACATTTTTTTTTGTTTATCGTGCGACAATTGTAAAATTATGTGAACTCAGATTAAATCATTTATCTTCGTAAGAAAATTTATAAATAACTAACTTTGTAAATAATCTTTGCAATGAATAATTGTATTTGTCGTCTAATAAGAAAGTAAGTGCTATTACTTTCTTGTCTTTGATTTATATCGATGATTAAATCAAATTGTTGCGTTAACTCGCTTTGAATGCATTCCATCAAATAATTAATATTCTACGTGCAAGTAATAATAGTACTAATAATAATGATAATAATAATAATAATCGAACTATATCGCGTTATTACCATTTGGTGTCAATTACAGCGAGTAAATTGATTTACACATGCAACTGACGTCCATTAACGCTAAATGTACCCTCCGTTGTCACTATTATAAATAGATTTAATCGATCATATCGGTATTCATTTACTTAGTATTAGTTTAGATTGTAAAATATTACAGGCTTATGAATGTTTGTAATGTAAATGTTTACATATCTGCTTATGCGTATATCTATGAGCAATTTCGAATATTGCTGAACATAGTTCCACTTTCATTTCCCATTTTGTGATATCCGTATAACTTATGTTTACAATGAATGTTCTCTAACTAACGTATAGGTACTCTTGATATTAGAACTTCACTGCAGTTGTGGTATTACTTGTACAACTGTAGTCTAGTGTGTGTATATATACATTGTTCTCATTTACATGTAACTTACGTTGTCCTCGTATGGTAAAAGTTTTGTCAACATTTTTAAACGTACTCTACGGGAGTTAAAAAAGTTTTTAACAACATATCATACAACTATTTGTCACGAAGACAATGAAATATTTATTTCAATTGGAATAATTGTGAAGATAATTTTATTAAACAAAATATAATATAAAAATTTTTTATTATGAAGATTCATTCGACCAATCGTGGTCACTTTAAACGTCTAAGTCTATTATTTATAATAGCAACGAAATCGGTTTTAGCAAGGAAAAAAAATGTAGAGGCAAAGGTGTACGCATGCGCACCAATGTCCGACCTTTCAACAACGGCAAGCTTTGTACTCGCCACAGTTACTATGGCGTTCTTAATTAAACTTTGATCATAGAAAACCCTATCGACCGAGAGAGTCTATCGCTTGTAAAAGTCGTCGATAATGTTGAAGATAGTGCTTAAGGGAAAGTGCAAGATAATGTTTCACGCGTACTCTTCTGATGGTTCATTAAATGGCTATACATTTTAATTATATTGTACGTATGCAAAAGAAAATTGTATCTGTAAAATAAACATTAACGTGTATTCTATTTGAATGGAATTATTTGTAATGCATAAAAGATTACGAATTTGTAGATTTAAAAAAAAAAAAAAAAAAAATTGTTCTCATTGGTATAAATTATGATAGTTTATAAATCAAACAAGCGTGTTCCAATTATTATTAACAACTACAACGAACTTGTAAATCGACAATTTACAATTGTCCATTGAATAAGACAGAATTATCGTGTGTTAGAATATATTATCTAATCTCTTAAGCCTAAATTCGATAATACATATCTGTTTGTTCATGCGACTCGCATCGTCTCTAGCTAGTATCGAATCGGTGGTGCATTCGAGCGCTATCATCGACTAGGTTGTCTTGAGTGGCATAACTGCGTAGCGAGAACTCGATTATAGGTCAGCGGTTTGTCGCTTTTATTAACTCCTACTAACGTTCACGCCCCAAATCTCACTGTTCGGCATTATCCTCCTTGGCAATTCAATTACCTCATTAGCCTGGATTAATGGCGCTTATCGATGAAAATAGGTCAGAAGTAATGAATATTTTGCCTTGTAAACATTCTTTTCTTGTCTCGCGAATCAACGTATACTCGAGAATTTATAATATTTAGAAATAATCATCACAATAAATCCCCTTTCTCAATAATAATAATAATATCAATTTTTGATTATATTACTCGTCGTCATTTTTATCGTAGATTAAAATATTTCATCAAAAAATTACTTCGATTATTCGAAATGATACTAAAGCTAGTTATGTTCTTCCATCGAAATAGTGTCTATAGAATCTGTAGAATTTGCTCTTTGACCTCTATTGGTCGGATTTAGTAATTACATCGATCGAAGATGACGAATCAGCGGGATTGGTCATATTAGCTGAAACGTGTTCTGGTTCTATAATTCCTCATCCAATACACAATTCACATAATTTCATACAAATGATCTATTTATAAACGTAACTAGTGGAGTATGTGAACAGTAATTGTAAACAAAATTCAAATAATATAGCAAATATTGTCAATTATTGATAGGTTTGGTTGAAAATAATTTTAATTATGTAATAAAAATGAACAATTCACTTAGGATTACATTGCCCTTACCTGCACAACAAATTTCTGGTTTACAAACACGCATGGGACAAATCTTCAATGGTATCTCGCTAAGGGCTCGTCTCTTTCTACCCTTCTTTCTAACGAGTTCCTCTGATTTGACGCTTTCAACTTCGAGCTTTGCACCCATTTCTTCAAACGAATCGGAAATTTTGTATCCCGGCGTTGACTTTACTGGACTCTTTAAACGTCTCGGTCTTGGTTTCCTCCTAGATTTATCCTTGTGTAAATGAACATCTTTATATAACTCGGTCCTTTGTGCTTCGAGTTCTGCCTGTTTGGTTTTTAAATAAATATTGTGTATTCTTTCTATCTCTTTGCTTTTTTCAGATTCATATAATTCTTGTTCCTAAAACAACGCGAAAAATTTATCTAACAATTTATATTTTAATTCAAACATATTAGCAAAGATCATATCTTTTTTTTTTTTTTTTTTTTTCATTTATCATATTGAAACTTAAAAATAAGATAAATTAGATATTATAGCAGATTATTCAAATACCGTTGTCATCGTAAGGAAATAATGTTTCTCTGCCTCGAGTATCTCAGGATCATCGGCAAATGGACTATCACGTCGACTCAATTTTTTTGGTTTAGATTTCCTTGGAATATCTTTTAACTTCTCTTGTTTTTTAAATTGTCTTTTTATCTTTTCTCTGGTATTTTTTCCTTTAAATCTATCTCTATCCTTAGATTTATCCTTATACTGATCTTTAGATTTTAAAGGTATAGATTCCATCATCGATGACATAGGAGTACTAACTATTGTCAATCCTATCTCCTTTCTTCGAGTTTCCGCTAATTTTTCGTATTTACTACATCTATCCAGATACTATATTATAACACACACACAGAAATAATAATTATATTTAAATATCAGGATATATTATATATACATGTAACTTTTTCATTTACGTTTGTATACATGCAAGCAAATTTTTCACAATTTTCTCTTCTTACAAATGATAATAAAAATCATTCAAAAAGTTTATACGCGACATGCAAACATCGTTACGTTGGTTAGATTTGTCATTGGCTGTGAAGTGACATTATTTTTCATTTAACTTTCTTTTTCATTTCTGGTATTACAACTCGATTGAACTTGCTACATCGAAAAAGTCGTTTGAAGTTGCCATTCGTTACCATAGCAAATCGAATGAAAAGTATATTTCGACTTGATTACTGCTGTATCGATTCGTGTTGATAAACGTTAAGTACTTATAGCCGACACCGTTTCACAACTTTTTAATAAGTACCACCGTAACTGAGAGTACTTAAAAACTTTTCCCAAAGTATAAGAAAATAAAAACTTACCGAAGCGAAGAAGTGTTTGTCATTAGGAAACGTGGTAGTACATAAGCCTTTGCACGCGATAAGATAAACTTTGCCATTAGATCCACCAACGGCCAAGATTTTACCATCGTCGTGAGGTTTGATCGTAGTTAAAGGTTTTTCACAAATTGAAATTCCGTAATATGGTACAATTGTTCCTTCAAAAAGATCATAAACGTCCAACATGCCTATCGTATCTATCGTGAAAAAAAATGACCATCTGGATCTGCTCCAACATGCTCCCGTCAGAAAGCTTGATATTTTTCTACAAAAAAAAAAAAGAAAACCAAAAAGAAAATAAAAATTTTATGATTTCTCTAAAAATATACAAATACATTCTGTTGTAAGTCTGTTAAATTACTTTCTTTAAATGAATATACTAAAAGTTTTCCATGTTGTTTCAAAGAAAAGTTAAGATATGTGACGGTAACAGATGCAAATAAGTATGCATTGTCAAAAAAAGAAAACCATTTATTTCTCGGGATAATATATTAATTTTTCGAGCTGTGTTAATTAAGTATAATATTATTTATTTTAACAAGTATATAACACGACCCTAAACTTTTAGAACATTAAATACGTGAAAAACAAAATGATGTAATAATGACAAACTTCAATCGATATACCAGAGACGTCAACTACGATAACGTCCATTTACTGGGAAGCATTAGGGAGGAAAAAAATGAAAAATTGAATTCCACAAAAAAGTGTCTTCTCCGAATAAAAATAAATCCTATTTGAAAAGGATCATTACCTTCCTGTCTTGACCAGGCAATGTTCTTTGGTTCCCTCTGTCCAAACCTTGGCGTGATTGTCGCCGACAGTCAAAAAGTTCTTCAAACTTCCTGGATGCCGATCGATGGTCAATACCGATCCAAGATGACAATAGAATCTCGTATAGAGTTTCTCGGTCTTTGATATAGCTCTTCTATTGACGTTCACGACGATCCCGTTCTCAAGTCCAGCGAGAAACCCACTGCCCATGGTAGATTCATATTGAAGTGCGGAAACACCGGTAGCCTCATTTATGTTCTCTCTCTCGGGATGTGCCAAGTCCATCACTAGATTCTCAGTTGGCCTCTTCAAGTTCCTGGTGTCCCACCACTTGACCGTACCATCGTTAGACGCCGAAAAGAACTCGGTATTGGTCTTGGAACTGATCCAGAACGCCTGGTTCGCTGGATTTCTTTCGATGTGACCAAGAAAAAAAAACAAAACAAGAACTGAAATTACGATCTAACTTTGAGTTACTTTCAATTCACTCAAAATATTGTTAGTAAAGATTGTTTGGTTTTCTTTTTTTCTTCTATCAAATTCGAGTAAAACGATTCGTCCGTCATTCGAGATTTTTTTTATCTGCGTGTTGAGAAAATATCGAAATTGTTTTTCTTTTTTTCTTTGTTTTTTTTTTTTTGCGTTTTTTCTTTCGTCAACAATTCCTTTCCTTGAAACAGTCTCTTATCGCAATACTTATGCATAATCCTGAATCGTAAATGGTTCGGATATCGGGTGAACGAGCATCTGGTAAAGTGAGATATAATCCCACCACACCTGTGACTGTTCAGAGCTTCCGATATTTGCACCGGCGAATCACTGGTTCTTGTGTCCCAGCTGCACACTTGACCGGACATCAAGCCACTTATCAGCAAGAACGGGTCACGTGGATTAAACTCAATAGCCACAGACGCCGAGGCTGACTTCAGAATCACCGCCGGATTGTTTGGTAGTTCTGTGATACACAAGAGAAAATGAAATTTCTCACTTCGATATATCAAATTCAGTTTTTAGATTAATCAATATTGACGATGTTGCATTCATTTAAGCTAAATTACATTAGAATTCTTTTGAATATATAAAAGTTTGTTTTTTTTTTAATTACGTACATAAAAGAAAAATCATGAAAATTATTTTTTATCAATAGAAATGAAATACCAATGTTCCAAATGTAAGCGTTCGGGCTCAAATTTGATGGCAATTCGATCCGATTTTTGAAACAATATGCGACAGCAAAATGGTATGTATCCATCGACCAAGATACATGATTAACAGGCCTAACGTTTGTTTCTTGATCAGAATATATTCCTTCGATTCTAAAGAAATAAAAGTCCTGAAAAGCTGAAATATTTCCTTGATTCTTTTCTTATCTATTGTATGTATCAGGGGTTAAAGCGGTTCAGGAAACGTATGATTTTCCAATCGTGACCACCATAAATCGTGTGTAAAGGACGCTTTTACACGAGTGTTCTCGTCACATCGTAGTAGTCACGTACGACGTATTGACATTCTTAGATTTACAATCCTACTATTCCCTCTGGTCAAATCATCACATTGTACGGGTTTGTAGTATTATGCATCACAAGAGAAAATAGCTAAATTTTATGATGAGGTATCACCTACCTCGTTAATCATAGGGTAAAATAGTATTAAACTTATTTTTTATGTTCCTTAAATTTCGTCTAAAACATTATACTTATTACAATGCTTTTGTAACTTATATTGTTTAGAATTATATAAACTACATTCTATAAGCTGCATAAGTCATTTTGGGATAAAAATGTAGTTAATGACTTTTAGTTGAGCACGAAAGATATGTGTGTGTGTGCGTGTGTGTATATATATAAGGTTATTTTGAAAATGATATATTATATCATACCTCATATGAGGAGAGACCATTAATTCCGTAGGTATCATGTCATCGAAGTAATAATCGTGAATATTGATAGCGTTATTTTGCTTTATAGCGTGCTCCATCATCTAAGATTATAACGATATATGTAATAAATGGATGTGTGATTTAGAAGAATTTGTACCCTGGGAAGGAAACTATTTCACTTACCTGCATAAGTGGGTTCATAGATGCAATCCAATTGTCGCTCCTGATAACTCGTTGACGGAATCTACGAACCACTTCTTCATCTAATGGATTTATTTCTTTCGGCCAACTACCTTCTAAATGTACTACACACGAATTTTTTAATTTTGCAGCTTTAGTCTGAATCTGATTATTAAAAATATTAAATCAAAAATAATAAAATATTCTCTCTTATATATAAAAAATATTTAATAGTAATATAGATATCATATCTAACCTCGTGAATTGCAAATTGTTTTGATCTCTGAGTACTCTTATCAATTATTTGCTGATATATGTAATTTTTATTTAAACTTGGATCTGGAAAGATATTTTCTTCGACGGTTGGTCCAATATCTTCGAAAATACATTGTTTCCCGAATTCACGTCTTTCTTTGACGTAGACGTATTTAGAATCCATTATTACGTAATTGTAAAAAAGCTTCTCGCAAAGCGTTAAAAATATATATATATATGTAAAGAAATGAAAGAAAATGAGGACAAAAGTGATAATAAAAATACATGGATCATAAAAATAAATTAAATGACATTAAACATTGTCAAAAAGTTTATTCGAGTAACTGTCATTATCGTTTATTCACATCTGTGTTCGTTTCGATGTATACGATGATGCACAGAAATTTATTCGTAAGACGAAAAATAATGAAACATCGGAGAAAATTCAATCGCGATTAATCTTACAAAATCCTACGCATAAGTTTAGCATCGCATCTGTTGACCGTCCTATAAAGGGCGTAGTCGTTATCGATAGGATTACGATCCCTCGAATAGCATTAAATTTACCAATCAATACACCGCACAAGGCCACAATTCACGTAAGCTACGATGGTACACGATTTCTACTAATGAATAGAAGCTAGATGTAGTTTATGTTGACATCATTCTATTCGATATCGACCGATATCGAAAAAAGATATCGAGAAATTGAATATGAAATCCTAAGCTTCTTAACTAAAACAGTTAGTAGGAATTCGTAAACCATTATTATCCTCCACTTATGCGTTCAGTTAAATTTATTGATCTCGAACAAGCCTTTGATCGGTTATTAAGCAAATTCACTATGTTTCAAACGATTCTACGAAGACCTCTCTCTCTCTCTCTCTCCCTCTCTTCATCTTCTACTGTTCTGTATTCTATTTCCTCAAACTCATATTCAAAGATTCACTTCCGAGAGATATCCTACGTAATATAAGCTAAAGTCTCAGCTATTCGTCAATTCGTCATAAGCTTCTCTTTGGGTATGATATAGGTTCGGCGACGTGCCATTACTCATCGATCAATTAGCTGATATTGCGAGTAACACGATATCTCCGTGGATGCTGAAACTACAGATCAAGTTACCTGTCGCTTTGTCAATTTGATTATTTCTCGACGAATGTTACGTTCCTATCTTATCGTAATTCTATTAATCAATATAAAGGAATGAATTAATTAGAAGAAAAGAAAAAACAATGAAAGCTTATTAAATATATAAAAATAAAAATATACGTCTAAGATGTGGATCATATTTTATATTCGTCATTGATATTCTTTGTCAATTTTTGAGACATTTAAAATTGTTTATTACGATTGTGGTCTAATGATTAACGTTAATAGCATCTATTAGAAAATAATGTAGCATCACTTGCCATCGTACTCGATTTCACGTTATTTGAAATTATTCGATGAACTTGTAAGAAACGTGATAATATTTCACATATAAGAACGAATAAAATGAATACGTTGTAACGTGTTCGTGTAACGAGCTTTGAACGAGGAAATGAGATCGATATGAAGCCAATGCGCATGATAATTGTTCAAAGATTGGAGGAACGAGACAGACACGAGATATTGTGAAAGGATAAAAGCTTTGAAACAAATAACGAGAACGTTGAGAACTGACAACGAAAGAAAAATAAGATATAATCAATCATAAACGTAACAAAAAATGAATTCAACCTAAAGTTATTCAATTATTTTAAAAATGTTTTTTTTTTTTTTTCAAACGATTGTCTTTGATGTATCGATACAGACGATAGAAACGATCTTAATATTTTATAACAATCTTACATTCTTATATTTCTTTTATTCTTAAGAAAAAGGTAATGCTACTGAAAGAAATTCAAAGTATACTTATCTGATTGTCTTGACATTTACTTATTACAAAAGAATCGATTAAGTTTCATTATGAAAGATATTATTAAAAATAAAAAAGAAACTTTTCTTTCTTTTAGTTATTCTTTGTTTGCAAATTAAAAGGAAATGAGCTCTGTAAAGGATATTCATATTACTCGATACTTGATACATTATAAAAAGAAAATAAAATAAAATAAAATATGGAAAATCGATTAGTGTGGAATTATGAACTATGGTCACATCCTTACAATTATTTTAAGTAAGAGATTGATCTAATCTGTAGTGATCCGAAAAATTTATTCATTTTCTTACAAATATCATAAATAGGATAATGATTAATTAAAGATCATAATATAATAATTTGCCATAAAAAAAAATCTTCGTATGAACATTCCGGATTTTTTTTGTGTAGAATTACATACTTATATTTAAATCAACGTTTCGTTGTTCGGGTTTAAAAACCAAATAAGATAGAGTAGTATGGGCGTAAAGAAAGAAAGAAAGAAATAAAAAAGAAGCGAAAGGGGTGAGAAAGAAAAAAGATGGTCTCACGTGAAAAAGTACGGGCTTCCGCGCGACAAATGACAAGAAGTTCTCTCATTTATCACTATTTTTCTTCCTATATTTTCATCGGTTACGTTGCATCGCTTACAGGAAAGTGCATCAGAGTACATTGCTTTATGGATACATTTCCCCGTTCGTTGCGTTCGAAATGATAAATCTCTTGTGCGTACTAGAATCGCGCCGAGAGCTTTACTACTTTCAAAAACCTTCAACTACAATGAAAACATGTGTTAGAAAGTTTTGATTACATTTCTGGATGATAGATTCGTCACTGTGATCGAATAACTTTCGCGCGATCGTATCTACGAATTTGCGAAATATACGAGAGGACTGATTATTCAAACTAAATGTACAAAATGGTCGATATACTTTTCTATGATAATAAAGAAAAAAAGAAGAGAATAAAAAAGAAAACCGACAGTAAAATATGACATAATATATTATAAAAAACCATGATATAATTCGTTAAACTTGCAAATTATATTCGTAACCAGAACGCGTTGATTAAATGTAAAATTTGATAAATACAATTTTTTCTTGTTTGTTTTTGTTTTTTATTTATTTCATATATAAAGAACTTGTTTGTGAAATGATGAATATAAAGGTTAATATTTTAAAACATTCCATTACAGATATTCGATGGTTGGTATCATCTCGAGCATCGATCAGTGATGAAGAGATCGATTGATCCACACATGGAAGTACATTCCAGACTGATGAGAGATTCAAGAGTTCGTCGAGCAGAACAGCAACGAGCAAAGTCGCGAAGTAAACGGGATTTAATAATTAAACGCGGTCCGTCCAATTCGCAAGTTATTTTAAATGACGAGAGATGGCCTCAAATGTGGTACCTGGTACGTTACTTTTACTTTCTATATCAAATTAAATTTTAATAATGTCAAATCGTCTGAACTTTCATAGAACATATTTCGTATATGTGTCTCATGTTAGCGCTTGTGTATATCTAATTCATAGCATCGTGCTTAATATTCGAGGTATGTCTAATACGACAGACGTCTGAATTCTAGGTGAATTCTTGTTTGCACCCTCCTTCCATACACACCAAGCTACGAATAATTATCATTTATGAATTGAACTTGTGATATTAAACACATCCAATGATTTCTATTATCTAACAGAATATTTTTTCTTTAGTTTTATCGATTCTACTAAAAAGAAAAATAATAATAATAATAATAATAATCATCGTCAAAATAAATAACAAATATAAAATACAACAAATTTTCTAATCATTTATACGCGTTAACGATCGAACCTTTCGTTTTGGTTATTCCAACGTTTCTACTATATAAATCATTGAAATCGATCGTATTTCATTTTTTATTTACGTTTGTATTGTATTATAAAAAGGAAGGAAGAAAAATACGTGAGTGGATTAACGAGAAGCATTCTTTAAATCTTTACTTCTCGTATATTCGAACCAGTCTTGAGATTCGTGGAAAAATAAACGAAATGGAGCATGGACGTGCCTAGAAAGACTAAACAATGTTACCGCGTTAACGCATTTTCCTCGTTTCTTTTTATTCGTTACACTCTCTTGTTTGTTCTATTCCCCGTACCTTTTAGAACAGGGGAAACGGTTTGGACATGAACGTGCAAAACGCTTGGGCCGAAGGAATCACCGGAAGCGGCGTCGTAGTCACGATTCTCGATGATGGCTTGGAAAAGGATCATCCTGACCTTTACAAGAATTACGTGAGTCTTACCTCTTGATTTTATTTTTTTACTATCCGTATAATTTTCAAAACGTGAAAGAAATGATAAAGGTAACTCGTATTAGTTCATTTTGTTGTTATTCTTGTTCACTCTCTTGTAAATTATTCTAAGTTCTGCATAGAACTATATCAAATTGTTATTAATCTTCAAAACTAAAGGAATTTCTTTTCTTGTTTTTTTTTTTTGTCTATGTGAAGAAATAAATATGAAACTTTGGTCATTAATTTTCTATCCAAAAATACAATAGTAATATATTTTACTAGGAAGATAGATCTGTCAAGATGTTTCCGTTGAAATTGTAGGATCCCCAGGCGAGTTACGATGTTAATAGTCACGACGAGGATCCAATGCCAAGGTACGATCTTGTGGATAGCAATCGACACGGTACCAGGTGTGCTGGAGAGGTTGCAGCGACTGCTAACAATACTGTCTGTGCGGTTGGTGTTGCTTTTGGAGCAGGTGTCGGTGGTAAGTCTTACTTCAAAGATTCATCTTCATTGTCTCCGAGCTAGGAAAACGTTTCGTCTCTAGTTTCTCTCGACTTTCAAGAAAATTCTCCTTCTCACTTCACTCTCCTTCTCTACTTCTCTCTCTCTCCCTCTCTCTCTCTCTCTCTCTCTCTCTCTCTCTTTATTCTTTATGCTTGACAAAAACTATTCTCTTCAAATTGGATTTGCAAATTTTTCTGTCGTAATATTATATAGAAAATATTATTGGATTTGAAAACAACACTTGTACACGCTAAAATATCTAGAACATTTTACATGTATATTTTTCAAAGCTCTAAGAAGATTTTTATTTGACTCTCTCTCTCTCTCTCTCTCTCTCTCTCTCTCTCTCTCTCTCTCTCTCTCTCTCTCTCTTTCTCCCTTTCTTTCTTTCTGTATACAATACATTTCACATTGATATCTCGATCATTGTTATTCTACTTGCAACAAGGAGAAAGAAAAGAATTAATTTTTTGTGAAGGGTATTAAAAATATTATTCCATGATATAATATATACAGTATACTAAAGAATCAACAATTTTAATGCTCAGATACTTTCAACTCCAATAAGCTTCTATACTAATATTTGAAACTACTTACTGCTTTATCGAAACAACCGATAACGTTTCTTCCTCTACTTTCGTGAAATAAAAAAAGAGAAAAAAAAAAAATAATCGATTAGAAAATATTAAAGTTCATTATATTTTCTAGCGTGCGCTCAAAACATGACCCAATTATGATATGCAAGTGATCTTTATCCCGATGGAGCACGAAAATTATAATCCGCTGGGTATCCTGAGGAGAACATACTTAAAATTGGATTCTATCCTAATAAGATCGTTATTATCTAATTCAAAGTATGTCGTGTTAGTAAACTATACGATATCGTTTCTAATCTCGTTTCTAAACGATATCTATTATAGAATCTTACCCCATCATTTTAATTTTCATATTATTAGAAAAGCATATATATATATCTAATAATTATGTAACTATATTCCCAGGCGTTCGAATGTTAGACGGTGACGTAACAGATGCCGTTGAAGCCAGATCACTCAGCTTAAATCCACAGCATATCGATATTTACAGTGCTTCGTGGGGTCCTGATGATGATGGCAAAACAGTCGACGGTCCTGGCGAATTGGCAACAAGAGCCTTCATCGAGGGAATAACAAAGGTTCGTTCTTCGTGATACATGTCAGTAATCTTAAACAAAACAATCATTTAAATTCAACCAAATTATTAAAGAATTTCGTGAACGTTCTATTTGAATTAGAAAATATTCGTGTGAATCAAGATTTCTCTTTGAAAATTTCTCATCATTCGTAAATATAGCATATACAGTCTGAAGATACGTATGTGCGAATTGAAACATTGCGATACGGTCGTTCACTCTTTCATGTTAGGTAAATATACCTAAAAAGAAGTTCTTTCTGAATGAGAATCTTGTAGTAAACTTGAAGAATTTATATAAGTCACTGGGTAGTTATGCAAGCTTGAGCAAATCATTCCAAAGTTTTCCTCCAAGTATGTTAATAAATATGTATTTTATGTGTTCGTGAGAGATATTATACTAAATATATCGTAATCGGTAATTGATAATAATTTTCGAGTATTTTCATTGGATACGCACGACTTTTCATCTCTGTTCCTTTGAATTTTCCATCGTTTGTTCTAAGAATACCTAGACAAATCGTAATAACAAGTTTACTAACGTTAAAGGAAATTCCCTAAACGTTCAAAGTTCTCAAGGGAGTACTGGGTATTCCTTCAAAACGTCATGAAAGTAGGATATACATACAGTCCACCGATATCTTCCCGGAAATTTGATGCAAAAGAATTTCAACGTAGAAAATATACATGTCACTTTCTCTTCTTCCTCTTCTTCTTCTTCTTCTTAACACTTTCAAGAATTCGAAAAGTTCGACAACTCTGTGGAACTCTGTAAAAGTTTACGAGCTTCTCTTAAACCCACAGACAGTCTCGAATCTTGTCGAAAAACTTTTTAGGAGTAGACACTTTCTTATACGGTACTTGTGTTTTACTGTTAAACGATCAATCGATTATAGATCATAGAGATGCTAAAAAAACATTCTAGTCGGGTAGTTCAATTTGAAAAAATTACCACATTTTTTTAAAAGTTCCGTCGTAAGATCTCGTCAAGAAATGACGATAAACATAATTCGATTAGAAAGATAGAGAGAGAAAGAGAAATAGAGAAGAAGAAGAAGAAGAAGAAAAAGAGTGATCACAGTGAAGTAGTCCACGAAGCTACCAGAGCCACCTTAATAGACTCTGAGGGAAAGGTGGAGGTCAACTCTTGGAAAGTTTCTAATTGGGTGCTTTTAAGTTACCCGAACCAAAATTCTCCTGCCCGCACGCATTACCATTTTAAACTCACTCCACTGCAACGTGGCCGTAAGTCATATGCAAATATTAAAAGGTACTTTGGGTGCGAAAGCTCGTTAAAGCATCGTTCGAAAAAGAAAAAGAAAGATAAAGGAAACCTAAATCTTACCAAACAAAAAAAGAAGAGAAGAAAAAAAAATGAATACAAAACGTTCCTCATTCGTGTTGGCAAAATGTTCCCAGGAAAGAAGAATAATAACGCGAAATAATTTATTCGAAAGGTCAAATTGTGAAGAGTATATTTTTCAACCGCGTCAACGTCAATTCTTGCTTTTTAATAAATTCGATTGTTAACTCTTTTTTTTTTTAGAACATCGATATAGTAAAAATATCCCGTAAATATAACGAGTTATGAAAAGTAATCTTAAATTTAACGATTGAAAATATTGTTTGTCATCGTACCCAAACTTATTTTATTCCAACCTATACGATAGTTTCAGTTCATTGTATTATACTTTGTAATCAATATTATTATATTATTCGTCGCTGAAAGAAAATTTGAAAACGCTTATATAGCAATTTGAAAAAAAGTCCTCTCTTTCCATATTGCTCGTTTCCGATATGTAATATTCTTTTTTAAATGCCTTCACGTATGCGCATATCGATCGGTAGTCACGGTCGGATAAATTTTCCTCTTCCTTCTTTTTTTCTTTTTTTTATTTTTTTTCCCCCGCTAGTAGTACCAAGCTCTACCTTCAGCAATGCCCTTCGGATTTTCCATAATCCGCTAAATAAATTTACTCGTGTATGAGAATACACTTTACTGAGTTTTGGTCCGCGATTTACGGATCTTGTTTTAATACATACTCGGACTCTTTTTACGAGAATACTCAAGCGAACATTTTGCGACTTATTTTTTTTTTTTTATTAATACTCATTCAAAGGATGCTGCTCGTAAAAAACAACAATATGCCAAACTTCAATTGTTTGACGAAGTCATCTGTGATCGTAATACCGGGCGAATGATTTGACCAGTTAATAATCGCTGTATTATATGGTTGCGGTAATTTACGGAAAATTACTCGACGTGGTTTACAGTTAGATGATTTTCTATTATTCGATATGACATTAAATGATATCATTGTTTTGTTGATTAATATCCGTATTAGAAACGTTGAAATTATGTTTAAATTCAATATAAATTGGATAGCTTAATAACGCTCGTTAATTTTTATTTAACTTTCGATCATCCGTTATTATATTTAGATTTTCAATGTGCATTTTAAATAATCAATCGAACGGAAGACCCGACGTTTCATCTTATGGTTAGTAAAATAGATAGAAGTTCTTTTGAGAATGTCTTCAACCATCCTTTATATTGAATGTAATCTATATATACGATGCTGCACTCTCTTTGTCCGCCGAAAGCGAAGAGAACAATATTGAAGTTCCTTTCAGAAAACAATTTCGATGATCCTCGTCGTAGCGAAATTGCGTTCGTGCTACGTTTCCCTCGATACTTAGCCCCTGGGTAAAGCTGCTGAAAGTTAACATTCCAATTCTCAAAATTTTAATTAACTTTAACAACAAATGGTGCTTCATCAATGAGTTCTAAGCTAATGAAAACTACAGCTCGATATAATTTTACTCACTAATATTCCAATTTAAATAATAATATCAACGAGCTTACTCTTTTTTTCGGTGTTATGTACACCTCAATTATACATTTATCAAATCTGATTATTTATTTGGATATTTTTTATACGAGTCGAGTACGCTAAAAAATTATACAACGAACTATCGAAACGGTCAATATTTTATCCACGAATAATTTTTCCGTACCCTATAACAATGTTCATCTAATAACTTATGAATGTTATTTCCTTGTCTTGTAAGAATCTTACTGTGCATGTAATAAGATACTTACATAAGTGAACCTAGATTCGCGTTAAGTTCTCTTTAACGGGCACTACGTGCGTACTTGATAATTTCGCTAAGAATACTTTGGTCGTTCAAAATTAGTCCCCGTACGAGAATTTCATTCGTGTTTTCGTCGTATGTAACAGGAAAGACGTGTTAATTAATTTGACACGAGAGAGATAAGAATAAGTATTAATTTCAATAAACAGGTACGATCATAAACAGAAATAAATGTATAAAGTTGAAAAACGTTTTCTTCATTGCTCAGTTAATATAATTTTGTTAATATTTGATTTATATTTATTAATACTAATGATATATATATATATACTATCAAGTAATGAGGTATAATAATCTTAAAAACAAAATTATATATATATAAAAAAAATTACTATAAATATTCCATACTTTAATACATTTATGCAGTATATCAATATTGGATATTTAAAAAAAGAAAACCTATTTTAACTTATATTTAACATTCATCAATATAACAAACGTTGCATATTTAATGAAGTTGAATCGGAAACATAGAGAGATAGAGAGAAATCGAGGATCTCATCAATGATACGAGTTATATCATTAAGCCTTGTAAACTCAGAGACGTTTGATCAACAGGGACGCAATGGGAAGGGTTCGATCTTCGTGTGGGCCTCTGGTAATGGTGGTAGAGACCATGATAACTGTAATTGCGATGGCTACACCAACAGCATATGGACTTTGTCCATCAGCAGTGCAACTGAGAATGGATTGGTGCCTTGGTATAGTGAAGCTTGCTCTTCTACCCTCGCAACGACCTACAGTTCTGGTTCGACTGGTGAGAAACAAGTAGTCACCACGGATCTTCATCATCAATGTACGAGCAGCCATACTGGAACTTCGGCATCGGCACCTTTAGCAGCTGGCATATGCGCACTTGCATTAGAAGCAAATCGAGAACTCACGTGGAGAGATATGCAACATATCGTCGTGAGAACAGCCAAACCGGCCAATCTCAAGGCACCCGATTGGGTTACCAATGGTGTCGGCAGAAACGGTGAGTTTCATATTTTTGTGATATCTAGTTTTGTTAGAATGTTAAGGTTATTGTTTCTTAAATAGACCTCCTTTCATAGCGATTAAAGTTATTCTGCAATTTAAACTTGTAATTGTATATTCTTGCAGAATTATAATCTGTATACGATATAGAAATTTTCATTAAATTTCATACAACAAGAAAAAAGAATTATGATTATTTAATTCTTTTATATTATTTCTACTTTAATATGAACATGATAATATAGAACAATTGTTTTACATCATTTCGTTTAAATATTAAATTTTGTTTTCATTATTATCGATAATTTTTCTTTAGTTATAATCCGTCAAATAGATTTTATAAATGTTTAATCATACACCAATAGTCAATATGTTCTTACTTTTTTTTCTTTTTTTTTATTGAAACTCAAGTTACTTTGTCGAGACGCAAAGCTACTTAATTTGGAATTAGAAAAAAAAGTTAAAAGTGAAAAAAGCGAACTGAGACTCGGTGGTTACGGTCGAAGCTTGAATTTAATGGAAAATTTTTCAATCTCCTATTTCTATCTCGACATTTCATTTTAAAATACCAAGAATTCAGAAAGACGGCAGGCTTGAATCGCATATGCATCAGTATTCTCAAAATCCTATACACCAGTCCACGTTACAAATCTTTATACAAAAACGTCAGGACTTTTTTTCTGTCATTTGTACTCTTCGATTCCAATAGAGTACAATTCAACTTAAAAGCACGCGAATTCTTTAGTTTCGTACGAATTTTTCTTTGAAATTCATTTCCCAATTTGTTTTTTTTTATTATTTTTCTTTTTTTTTTCTTTTTTTTATCTCTATCTCTTCCTTTCTGTATTTTTCTTCTTTTTATTTTATATCAGCAAAATTTTACCGAGAGAGATATTCGCGCGCGCGCGCGTGTCTTTAATAAAGAAATATCCTAACAAAAAGATACCATTACAGTGAATGCGTTTTTTCGTTTTTTTTTTTTATTTATAAGTAATATAATAATAAAAATAATAATATAATTATTTTTATCGAAATGATACCTACATATTTTCCCAAAGAAAATTAAATGATTATTCAAATCTTTCTAATATTGAGAAATATAATCTAATGATACATCTATCGATTCAGTGAGTCACAGTTTCGGATATGGATTGATGGATGCCACAGCAATGGTACGTCTGGCTAGAAGATGGAGGAGAGTTCCTGAACAACACAAATGTGAAGTATCCGCCCCTCATTCGGGCAGGTAATTAAAACTGTTAAAATTAATGTTTTAATTTCAACGAAATGTAGAAACACGTCAAGTAGGGAGGAAGCTTGATCACATGCGAAAAAGATTAAAATCACGATGAACGGTAAATGAGATTTTTTTTTTTTATTATTATTATTATTTATTCCTCGGAATATATATAAAATTTAATTTCAAAAATTAGATATCATTTAGCAATCGTAAACTCAGTTACTTCTTGCTCGACAAAATATTGTCCGGTTTCATTTATTTCGAATAAACTCTTACAAGCTGATAGTTGAATAAAAAACTGATCCTATTTTTTTTCCCCCCTTTATGATCGTAACATGTCAACTTGTCTAAAGAAGAAAAGGTCTTGGTGAACAAGCTTTCTGTAGATTAGACATTCGTTCGAGGGAAACTGGAGAATCCTCTTGAAACGAATGTTTTCCTTGTAAAACAACCCCAAGGAAAATGTAGGAAACAACGTAGTATAATACATTACATAACTCTCATCGTTCTCAGATATGGATTTCTATTCGTAATTTTTGATGTTTCGAACAAAGAAAAGAGAGAAAATAATGTCATTTGTTATAATATTTATTTTTTTACTCGAAATAAGATTGAACAAATAAATTAAATAGAACAATAGTTAAAAAAATTGTGTTCGTATTGTTTTTTTAGGCCAATACCACCGAAGAGTCAATTGGTTCTCGATTTACATGTTAAGGAATGCAGCGGAGTTAATTTTCTCGAACACGTACAGGCAAGTATCTTTTATAAATAATCCTGAAATGTTTTCAAACAATCGTTACATTTCCTCTTGAAAATTCTAGCAATTTGAAGTTATTCGCATCAGCCACACAAACTGTAAATAAATCGTCACGAACGTAGATTCTGTTTACCGACTTACCCAGATTGATTGGAATTTAATTACATTTTTCCTTAATCAACGCTATATCCAGCTCGAAATACTCAATTCTTCCAATACTAGGCGTTAATCAGTTTTTCATTATCTGTGATTAACGTTTTGTCAACGGTCCTTTTTTAAATGAACAATAAATCAATCTTCGATTTGAATATTAACCTCGAACAATAAAATACAGTTTACTTTTTTTTTTTGATTTACCAAAAAAATAACAACTTGTTATAAATTTCTCGACGTATTCCATTTTTTCCATATTCAGTTACAAATTCAAAACTCTTCCATATTCAGTTAAATTCAAAAAAAAAAGAAAGGTAAGCAATATGAAATAATAACTATCGAATACTTTTTGAAGATTCAATTTATACGAAATCGACTAAGGAGTAGTTTACCTATATCTATTCGTTTGGTGAATTTCACTTTCTCTGTCTGAAGTATTCTCAATAAAAACGTTCAAAAACGATTCTTAAAGCGTAAAGTGGCTTTTAGTATTGGGTACTTATTGTCGACCTGTGAAAAGGGTCGTTTCGTGTGTGAGTACTACTGAACGATCGTTAGAAAGAGAAAGAGAGAAAGAGAGAGAGAGAGAGAGAGAGAAATAGAGCAAATTATGATACGATCGTCTGGACGCTCTTATCGTAGGCGAAGGTGTCACTGATGGCTTCGAGAAGGGGGGATCTTCAGATACAACTAACCTCTCCTCAGGGTACAAAGAGCACTCTACTAGCGAAAAGGCCACACGACGTCTCGAAGGCTGGTTTCAATCAATGGCCATTTATGTCGGTTCACACGTGGGGCGAGAGACCACATGGTACGTGGAAACTCGAAATTCACAACGAGGGTCGATATTTCGGTAAGTTTATCATTTTAACATTTTTCTTTTATTCACTTCATCAAAATCAATTACTTTTCCAGAAGATCATCGATATCAGAGCTCTTGATATTTATATTCATTAATTGTAATATACAATGATAGAGATTAATACAATAACGAATGCAAGTTAATAATGCGCGTATAGTGAAAAAATATTAAAATGAATTTCATAATTCAAATAATATATTTAACAAACAGTTGTGTTGTAGTTAGAAAATCATTGTCGAAATTGGCTTCCTTTAAAATGAACTATGAATATAAATTATTAATGAAATAATGTTTGTGAATCACACTTCATTAAATCAATCTGCTTATATATTAATAGAAAATACACTTACGAAATTATACTTCGTTGTTCTCGTTATTGAACGAGTCTAATCATCGAGTCGGGGTTTTATAAGCCTGATAGATGTCGATATTCGCGTAGAAAACTTTCCGGCTTAATAATTTTTCAAACGATATAACGGAACTTATGTGAATTGTCAACTAATCAATGATGAGGTTCCTTTCGTATGTTGCATTCAAATAATCAGGAAAAAAAAAATAATGCAAAAGCCGATGGTGGTAGAGAATAGGAGGCATAAATAATTCTACTTCTCAGACATGTGTGTGTAGAGTATAAGAAAAAAGGGAACTCCCTTAGATTTCCAAGTCACATCACGAACGATCCGGTTTCGATCGATCGGAGTAGAAAAAGCAGACCGTGTCAGATTCAGCGAAACCTCCGCGTCTCGAAAGTCTATCGGTGTCAAGATCACGTGGGCTTCCTTATCGAGAAAACGCTGAGATAGGTCGTAACTCGTCCATAAGAGTGCTCGCATTATCGTATCTAAAGATAATTTCGTATTCAAACTCCGGCCCCGATAGTTGGTGTGCTTCCGCTTTATTCTCGTTAAAGCATCAATGACGATGATACGCGGTCAAGAGGATCATTCACTGACGAAGAAGCTCGGCTAACCTTGTACAAAGCTAAACTTCAAGTTAAGATCACTTGGAATTCCATTAAAGCTGATAGTTACGCATAGCTTGCGTTCAACGTTAACTTGCACTACTATTATAGTAATAGCACCTACCTAAATCCTCCACTTCGTCCCTACATTCAGTTTCATTCTCATCCTCAGCATTCTCCTATTCCTTCATACATCAATGCGGACCTTGTGCTAATGTGTACACCAAAACGCTAGCAAGGAATTGTATCCAAGGGTACGCTATGTATTCCAGACGTTTTAGAGATTCAGGCAATTGCTCTTGAGCAATCGAGACGCGTCCTTGCGTTAATCCAAATTCCTACTTCTCCTTGGATATAGAGATGTTCATGTTTGCTAACGTGGATCGAAAATTCATAAACTATAATATCGTAGGATTTCCATGTTGCATCGATACGAATGATGGATCCGATTAATCGATCCATAGGATCCACCTTCGAAAATATCTATTGTATCTTTTTATTCTTTTCATATTTACTCTTGAATGCATACTACACTGACGTATAAATCAAAAACATGACAGCTTTCGGATATTTATCGTAAACCACAAATATATTCTGTATACCGTTTTCGTAATCGTTCTCTCTTGACTTGTTTTCCTGCTGCTCTTATCGATGACGAATCCAGGCCGTGCGACGCTACACGAATGGGCGTTAATCTTCTACGGGACATCGACGTTACCAGATCGTACGGAATATGCGCTTTACAATCCTGCCAGTATGAGTATACCACGAAGACCGTTCGTTAAACCGCGAGAAACTACGTTCACCAAGACTCAAAATTCCTTGACGGCATCTTCTAAAGGCAAACAATCACAGCATAAAGCTGAAAAGACAGGTAGCCTGAGTCCACCGTATGTGGTCAATGCTCAACTACAATCACAAAGGAAGAACAAGGTCCGAGGACAACACAAGAACGGGAAATCCGCAAATCGTCCAACTCCCAGACCAACGGTACAAACTTTAAGGGGATTGACGTCTATAAGAGGTCCTGCCATAGCCGGAGAAGTTCGATTGATCACGTTTAGACCAAGGGGAAGGAGTACACCAAGCCCTGTCACTACTACTACGACAACTGTTCGGACTAGTCCATCTCCCAGAATAAAAACTACAACTGTCTTAACCACTAGACAAAAAATCATCGAACCGGTCACCATCTCGTCACCGCTTCAGAGAGGTTTGATCCTGATGGAGCCAGCTGCCAAAGCAGCCACCAATAAAGTACCAGCGATCTTTCAACAATATCCCAAAATCCAACAGCTTTATCCTCTTTATCCTGTTTATGCTGGTGCTCGTGGAGCTGGGCAACAACACGCGACTAGAGCTAAGGGATTGGACTTATTACAAGACGAACAATTCGATCCTAGGAATCTACAGTTCGATAAGGGTACCCCTATTTGATTGATGCATTTGCCAAGATCGAGCTTAGTTGTTCCATCGAACAATGACGTAACTTACTCGGTTATATTATATTGATTCAATTCGCGATCTGAATATTGACCTGAACATTTCTTTTATGACGTATATTATATCTACCTTGTTAAGATCATTACGGGGAATATTATTGTCTCTTTTATATATATTTTTATTCATATTTCTATTATATTAGATCGTTATCGTTAACTCGAGAACCGTGTTATTTCACCTGTAATATCGGATATCAATATCGATTTGTATCTCAATTTCGTGAATATTCGAAATTTCTTATTCGGTAATTACATCGAACGATTAGTCAAAGATTAAAGAGCCTAATCGAGCGACAATTATTCATTCATGACAGAAACCAGGTCGTTATATTTTTCGTTGCCATTGAAAACGTTTCAGCCTTTATATTTTCAAGCGTCATTCGCGTTCATGGATGCATCTCGGCACGATCTCGTTCTTTTTTTTCTTTTTTTGTCTACTTCTTCTTTCCTTACACTTTGCATTTCAGTAGTAGTACAATGTGTGTAGAAAAGAGACAATAAAAAAAAAAAAAAAAGCAGAAGGAGGTAAAGAGAGAATGCATAGTAGTATAAGCAAATATCCTATGGTCATTCGAAGTACCGAGGGATTCAATCTAGTAGAACTTACATTTTTACGTTTTTTTTTTTTTTTCTTTTTTTATTTTTTCATTTTCACTTATTGTTCGCCGTCTATTCATTTGTAAGCTGCACTTGGCCGTAATTGCTGTAATAGCCATTGGCTTTGTTTCTACTCTGATATATTGTCCTATACCCACCACCTTCTTCACCTTACCTATACCATTATACTTTCCTTATTTTTCTTCGTTTCAAGCGTCATTTTGTGTGTGTGTGTGTTTTTTTTTCTTTTCCCGGTAAGTCGAACCATTTTAGCTTAAATTACAAGGAATACATTATTCTTTTCTATTATATTATTTTCTACCCTTATCAACCATGCAACTCGCTTGATTATTTATTGATGTTTTTCCACGGGAAGACGTATAAATACCGATGCGCTTGTAAAAGTTTATTCATTCATGACGGAATATTAATGATTCGCTTGTTGATTGCATCACTTGCATTACTCATGTTCTCGATAAATGTATTATTAATTTCGTGTTGTTTACGTGCACCGGACAAGAACCGTAGATGTGCTATCGTCCTCGTTTAGTTTAGTTCTCCATGATTTGTCCAATGATTTTGCGATGGCTGTTAAATGAATGATAATTCAGCAATCTTTATATATATATATATGTTACAGTCAATGTATAGAATCCGGGTATTTTATAGAATGTCCACCAAGATTGGGCAATGTATATTTTAAGTATGTTTTTTGTACATTATCCAATCAATTTCTAGAATGTCCAGAGGGTTTTTGATCAATCTAGAATATGCGTTTCAGTTGGGGTGTGTTTAAAGCACGATGGTGGAAAATAAAACAACAAATCTCAAGTGATTATGAGTGAAACAAACAATGACAGGTGTATATTCATATGGTCATGAAATGATTTTCAGATTGCATCAGGATTTTTGTGCACTAAACATACCCCATTGAAACACGTTTTATAAATCGATCGAAACTTATCAAAGATATTGTGGACAAATTTTACAATATCCGTCGTTTGTTTTACTTACTCGAGCTTAAAAATACTTCCTTCCGCCCCCAGCATTCTATACACAGTCTACTGAAGCACATATTATAAATTGACCAAAACCCTCTGGGCATTCTATGTGTTGACCAGGCAATCTCCTACTCGATTGGATATTGTCCTAGCAATGTTATAAATATATATATATGTATATAATACCCCTAGTTAATATTTGATTAGTAAATCAAATGTATGAGAAAAAAAAAATCAGATATACAGTAAATGAAATGAATATTATCAATAGATTAAATTAATCTCAATGAGTGATTACAAATAATATTTCTTACCATAAGATTTTTCTCTTTAACTTTAAATCATATTACGCTTGAAACGAAAGTATCTCCTATCCATCATCATCATCATCATCATATTTACACTTTCCCATTTTATTTTCTCGAGAACTTGGTAAAATGCTCCTACACAAAGTTGTTCCTTTTACAAAGAAAGATTTGGATGGTATCCTATCGGAAGTATTATCTACCGCTACTTTTCCTCGTATGTTCACTTCGTTACGCCATTTCATTCCTCCCCCTCCCCTCCCCTCCCCTCCCCAGACCCCAATTTCACTTTCTTTTAGCACCTAACAGAAAGAACACACGGTTATTCTCGTTACCAACGAGTGGTAGAAACATACAGAACTAGAAGAGAACTTTAATGAAAGAGAGCGAGCAAGTTTGAGAGAGAGAGAGTGAGGGAGTGGGAAAGAAAATAAGAAAAAGAAATAAAAAAGAAAATGGAAAGAGAGGAGTGGAAAGCAAGCCGTTTCATCGACGATTTGCACGATCCTCGGCACTTCGTAAAACAAACGCTGCTCACCCCTGTTCGCTTCTTTCCCTTGTCTCGCCACTCACATCCTTCCCCTTCCTCCACCTTCACTCCAAGTATTTTCCTTTCCTTTGCTAGCTCGTCTAAGAAGTCGTCCTGACAGTCGTTACTTTACAACCATCTTACACGACTGTAACAAGCGCACTTTAATGCCGACTTTACTGCCACCCGCGACCGGAAGTTTACAGTTTCTACTTCTCTATCTCTCTCTCTCGTCCAATAAAAATGGAGAGGAAGCAACCGAGAAGACTACTGATCCCTTCTTTTACCCTTACGCTGTTCTTCTATTTTCTTTCTCTTTCTGTTTTTATCTTCGTCCTTTTCTTACAATTAGTTTTGCAAGCAGACTCTCAGCAATGAAACTATCCTACCGACATCGTCGTTGTCGTCGTCGTCGTCGTCGTCGAGGCTTTACTAATTTCACCCTAGACGACATCGACTATGTCTTTCCTCTCTTCTTTTATAGTTTTTTTTTCCATTCATGTCATCCTGTCGTGTCGGAAAGCTTACGATCTTCTTATATCCACTATAAAAGCTTAAAATTGTACGCGATATTTCGTAGACGCGCGGTTTATAATCCAACAGAAATTATTTATCAAATTTTAAAACCGTATAAATAAAACGTAGACACCAAACTTCGTTTTCCTTTTTTTTTTTTTTTTTTTACCAAAACACATTATAACGATTTTTTCTAGGGGAAATTTAAGAGAAATGTTTTATTTAAATTGAAAATGTTTCGGTAGTTTATAGTTCATCTATCAAATATTCTTTTAGTTTTGTGAACACTTTGGTGTATATCTATTTATATTTATTATTTGTGACTGTGTTAATTCATAAATGACGTTTATGTCTTACTCCCATCATAAATCACCTAAAATATCCTGGAAATGCTTGTCTTTCTTTCCGTTTATTCTGCCATTCAAGTATCTTCATTTTAGTCGATTTAAATCCGTTACGCTTCACACCTAAAGTAGATTTAAGCTTATCTTAAATTCACTGAACAACTTTATGCTTACTCATCGGAGACTTCTCCGCACGTATGACACGAAATTGTTTTTATGAAGGATACTTAAATATTTGTGTAAATGTGGACACGTTTGTATAAATCGTAAAAGCACCTGTAGCTAATAGAATTCAGTGGTTTTCAAACTTTACAAATATTTTATACTTTCGTCATTTATTATTATAATTTTTGTTACGAAAAATATGCGTTTCTATTTAGTTTGCGAATCACTGTCGTAGAATACATCACGATAATCCACTTTAGTTAATTTTATTTAAAAAAAATGTAATCATAAAATCTGATACTCCTAATAAACAAATATTCCAACGAAAATAATGATAAGGTAATTATGTTAAATATTTTAGCTTGTTTATGTGCAACATAATAAAAAGCGTTTATTAATGCGAAGTTCATTTTTATATAAAATTCAAATACCAGTTGGTCAATTTAATTTAAACAACATTTTATATATATATGACTAAACTGTGGAGTATTTTATTTTTTCTTTTTCTAAGAAAAAATGTTAAAAAAGCTTCTTTTTTTCAAATGTCCAATTTTTTCGCTTGCTTACGCATGCATTATGTCAACCATGTAAATTATTTTACAATTTTATCGTTAATGTATTTTTATTTCGAAGTAGTACTTTTTCCGTTTATACTCATTGCTCGTTTTTTTCTTATTTTTTTTTTTTTTGGAAGATGTCAAAACTTAATTATTAATTCTTATCTACTATAAATTAAGTTATATATAATAAAATTTCTTAATATATATTTCTTTCGAAAAGAACGAGCAGTGAGAGTATTTCAACAGTAGATTGCACACGAAAAGCGATTACGTTGTTTTAATTACGGCATCAATCTGAACCGATTTACTTTAACACTAGACAGAGTTTCCAATTTATCGATCAAGCTCAGGATCGAATACGGGATGCAAATTGAATGAAAATATTTTAAAATACGCAAGGTTAAAATCAACGATATCTCCGTGGGCTCTTGTTTTACGTATACTATCGATCGTGGAGAATAAAAAAATAGAGTAACGAGTAAAAAAAAAAAAACAAGTACCAAAACGAAACAAAACTAAAAAAAAAACTTCTCCTCCCAAAAAAAAGAAAAAAATTCGAAATAAAATAAAAACCAAATAGTAGAAACGTAATCATTGATATCAAATCATTCGTCCAGTGAGATTGATTCAACTATCTAGTAAAAACGAAATCAAAGAAAAAACAACAAATAATAATAACTTTAACGATGTTACCGAATAAAGAATATATATGATTACTCTGTCTCGTGATAAGGTATTATCGAGTTATGTCATCGTGAAACTTGATACTGATACAATATTACATTGATTATAGATACTCTTGAGGAATGGAAACTGGTGTTTTATGGTACCGAGACATCCTTGGAATCGAATGAGGACTTGGACAAGGATAAACCAAGCTTGACGAATGTTCCACCGGAGGAAATCCAAGACAATACGGCTACTGACGCAAGGCAGAACGTGGTAGACACAGAAGGTGATCCTTGGACTGGTAGCCAACAAGTAGAACGAGTCTCTCATCCTGAGGTACAAAAACCAACAACGGAAAACCAGACTAGCGGATGCACTAATCTCAATGGAGGAAATGGCAGGTGCCTAGGTGGGTGCCTCATACTACTCCTTCTAGCCTACTTTCTCGTAGAGCCAACTTACGGATTCTCAATCATCGATCGTTCTCCTAAAACCGTGGACTCGAGTCTCATTTCTAATTCGAACCTGACAATTTCTCTTATTTCGCTCGATTCCTCGACGAAGACGACGAGAACGACGATTACTACGACGACGACGAAAAATAAAAAAGATTATCTCGTTGATGATTCGATAGGCGGCTCTTCTAACATTCGTTCGTGTTCATGATGACTTTTCCTCCTGGCTTGATCCTATTACAAAAGAGAAAATAAGTGAACGCGTGAGTGTGAGAATGAATGACTGAATCTTTGTTGAAAGAAAGAATAAGAGAGATAGAGGAAAGAAAAGAAAAGAAAAGAAAAGAAAAAAGGGCCTGAGAAGCAACTCCTTCTCTCTCTTTTTTTGCCCTTTTCCCAATCCCTTTTTTTTACTACTGATGATAACGCGAAAATACATCGTGAAGATACAAGACATCGAGCTTAAGAATCTTTTAAGGGTTCGTTCATACGATTTCTCGAACGTGTATTATCCGTATGAGTATCCACGTTCAGTGGACACTACAAACCCCTACAAACAACCTCGCCTAACCTCCAGACGTATATCGTTTAGGATTAGGGTTAGTCAAATTCTATGTCTTCGTCTCTATCATATAATTAAAATGAAATAAATGAAATAATGGAAAGAAAGAGTTCAAATATCGTGGTTGAATTGGTGGTGCATATGGTAAATTTGTTGTTGTCTAAAGTGATTGTATTGTAAAGTGAAGTATTGTGCGAAGTGATTTTAGTAATTATTTGTAGAAGGGGTTATATTAATATAATAGGTATTCGCTCTATCAATCGTTTCTTTTGGTCTTATATTAATCTGATTTTTTATCTCTCACCGGCATTTAATTAAAATTGCTTCATAATATTTGTCTCAAAAATTTACGCTCGATTTCAAATTATTCTTATTTAGATTTTATATATGTTAAATCTATAATAACTCTAAATATATATATTGATATACATTGATATTTGTTTATACATTTGTCATAAACAAATCAATGCCTTTAAATCTGAAAGATTAAAAAGATTTTTGCGAACATTTATATATATAAATGGTATAAATTTTGTTTGTTTTTATATTCCGAACGAACAAATAATATTCCTGATCTGAAAAAAAGAAAAAAAAAAAAGGAAAAATACAATTTTGCACTTTTTACGTTCGATTTGACGGAAAATAGAAAAAAATGTAAAATAAAATAAAGCAAAATGGAAAAAAAAAAGAAAGAGAAATAACAAAGCTAAAGGATTCGATTTTGGAGTGAATGCGCTTCCGACAAAAGTCTTGTTCGATATGCCATATATGTGTAAGGACAAAAAAAGATAAGAACATCAGTTCGAAGATATATTATTATGATCTGCCGTGACATATTCTTCTTTCGCACGATTAAACAAAAAGAAAAAAAAAGTAAAGGGGAAAAATGAAAAAAATGGAGAAAATAACGAGGTACCGCGAGTAAAGCTGCCATTTACGAGATCGCGATCGAACGTTTTCACTTATGGTCAATACACGATCGATCAATAGATCTATTTCCTACGTAATTCTTACTAATGCGATCTCGCGTGTCTACGTAAGATCCTAGTTGAACGTTGCCTCGCGTATCTTCTGATACATAAATACATACTTACATTCATACATACATACATCAATACATATATCATACATACATATTATACATACGTGCATACATACATAAAAAAAAACATTACTGGATTCGTAATCCATTTGAAATCATTCAAAGTACATTGTCATTTTGGATATTTACTGTTGTCAAATGTGTTTTGTGAAAAAGACAGAGACAGAGATATAAAAAAGAAAAAAATAGACACATTTCTATCTCTTTTTCTTTCTTTTTTTATATCTCCCTTTAATTTCATTCTACTTTCTTCTATCTTTTCTCTTATTTGTTCTCTCTCTCTTTCTTTTTCTTTCTCACTTTCTCCGTTTTATTTTACATTTTTCACTTCGTGTATATTCCATCTTGGGTCTTATATTTTCTCGTTTTCTCGTTTTCTCGTTTCCCTGCTGCTATGTCCACATTTCTTCTTTCTTTTTTTTTTTTTTTTATCCCAACCCTCCCCAGGGAAATATCCGCAGAGCCATCAGCACTGCCGAAACAATGAGCTATCCTATCCTATACATCCTCTCTTTGTGTCTTTCTCTTTCTATGCTCACCTCCAAATATTTCTTGGATAAAGATATTTGCACGATCGAACCCCTTTCACGAAAGTCGCGGCGATTGAACCGCACATTTTTTTTCTTTTTTTTTTTTAAAAAAGAATTTTCCTTTTTTTTTCTTTTTCTTGCCCAAAACATGGCTGTGCCTTTTTTCTGATAACTCCGAAACGAAAGCACGTAGGTACATAACGTATCTGCTATGTACAAACGTTAAACGCATTTTGGTTGAAAAATTAAAGTTCGTTTGAAAGACAGTTTGCGAAAAAGCTCGTTAATTTTCGCTACCGAACTAAACGACTGTGAATGCTAGATTTCGTTAAAATCTGAAAAGTAAATGGACAAAGAAAAATAAAAGGTAAAAAGATTTATATATATATATGCTCAGATCAGATTTAGAAAAGGACGAATTATTTTGTTCAAAGAGAGACCAAAATTTGATCGTTCGCTCGACGTCAAACTCAACTTCATCGATATAGCGTAGAAATTTTGCTTCACTATTTAAACTCACGTATACGTTAATGTGTACGTACGTATACATATGATTCTATTTTTTTATTAGTATTCGTCTGTGTGTGTGTGTGTGTGTGTGTTTTTTTTTTCCTGTTAGATCAAAGGATCAAAAGAGCTCTGGAAAATCGTTGCCGATATATCCGTAGAAAAAGAAAAACTATGAATGTCCGCGTTGGTGGTATTGACTAGAAAGCTGGTACTTCCGATCTAAAATGGAAGTATAAAAAAAAAACGAGCTCTCATGCAGAACATAGCTACGAACATTTTTTTCTCTTATTTATTTCTTTCTTTTTCTTCTTTTTCTTTTTCTTTTTCTCTCAAATATCAATCAAATCATTTGGATAACAATGAATTTCTATATTTATTAATATTTAATTGATTCATCAATTGTGAAATAGATTAGTTTTATTGATTTTACATAGAAATTTCGATATAATGAAAATTTAATGAAATAACATTTATAATGAATTCGTACAAAAGTGTTCATCTTTCGATAACGCAAGAGGTATTCCTTGAAATTTGATAAAAGTACAATATAGATATCCAACTGTTACAAACATGTACGTAATGTAAGAAAGATCGAATGAATGTTAGAACACATTCAGTTCAGGTAATACGTTTTTTCGTTCTTTCGTGTCCAACAGCAACGGTAGTAAACAGAAGCAGGAGTAGTAACAGCAGTAGTAACTGTAACAGTGGCAGTAGCAGTAGCAGTAGCAGTTACAACAGCAACCATGCTACCGATTTCCTTTTTATTTTGTTGTGTACTGTTTTACTCGGCTGGTGCTGGTACTGCTGGTGCTGCTGGTGGTGCCAGCAGCACCATGCTTGACTCACACTGCTGTAGAACATTCAGGGTGCATGAAACGAATAATTCTTTCGGTTGGCGTTCGAGCGAACGAAACGAAACGGAAAATCGAGAGAAAAGAGTCGCGTTGGTGGTGCTGCTTCGCCTACGAAACGACCCACTTTTCGATTCGTCGTTAGCCAGCATGCTTGCTCGTTCTGGCCTTCATGCTAGGCCAAATTAAACCTTCCAAATGTGTCTCTCTCTCTCTTTTTCTCTCTCTTTTTTTTTCTTTCTTTCTTTATGCATATATATATATATATTTTCCAAGAGCAAGCTCACTGATTTCTCCGTTTAACACGGAAAGTCGAACATTTCTCTTTAACGTTTGCCTTGAATATTCTTTTTTTCTTTTCTTATCTTTTCTTTTCTTATCACTTTTCCTCAAATTTAACCGAAACACTCTTTTCCGCTTTCCTTTGCTTCTCTTTATCCATTATTGCTAACTCATGGATGAAATTTTTGGAGAAAGAATACAAACAAAACTTATACCATCGATTTCATGTGAAATAAATCAAAAACGTTCTCGAATTTTTAGATTAACGTAAAAAGCAAATAAGATAATAGAAAAAGAAAACATACCAATTATAATTATTCGATATCACGAATAGTTTTGTTTATTGGAAAAAGAAAAAAAGAAAAAAGTATCTTATTTAATTCAAACAACGTCGAGGTTTTTTTTTTTTTGCGAAAAGTTATTGCAAAATATTATTAATTGTTTTATTATTACACAATCCGACATATTGATGAAATAGGATTATTTTATCATATTGAAAACAAATATCTATTATTATTGAACAACTTTTAATTAATAATTATTCGTCAGTGCAACGGCTTGGAATACATTTCATTAACTTTTTAATACTCTTTGAAAAACTCGTGAAAAATGTACGTGATTCGTTTCGATCGTAAGTAAGTAAATTTTTATTGGGGAGGGGGAAAAAAAAGAAAAAGAAGAAGAAGAAGAAAAAAACAAAAAGTAAAATAACATTTATCGTTCTTGTTGTTACATTATATTTCATATCATAATCATAATCGAATGCTGTGCAAGAATGGCAATGTGACGTGCGATAACGGCAACCGATGGTCATTTGGGATTGAATAATTTATCGCCGTTATCGATTAATCGTAGAGGCAATTTATCGCATATCAGTTTAATTTGTAAGGGTACTATATCGCCATAGGTTTACGGTTCTCCGATGATCTTTCATTCTCCTCTCCCTTTATCTGTCTTTCTTCCCTAGTAAAATGAAATCCTATATATTATCTCCTTTCTATTTAATTTTATCGATGAATTGTTTCATTAATATTCAAATTTAATATTAATTTAATTACTGTGTTATTAATTTGATTCGTAAATTTTATCGATCGAAAAATATTACGATTTAGAA